CCATTACTATATGCCTTTAGAGACGCAGCCTGCTCCTCCTAATTACCAGTTATACTCTTCAAGCTAATGCAGATGGGTCAGGGCTATGGTCCTGCCTTTCCCCACCCTCTTTGATGCACTATTAATCCCAAAGGAGTAGAACAGGATCAAACCCTGCACTTCCCTGAGCGAATGACCTGCAATTCTGAGGAAGCAGTGTTGTGTACTGGATAAAGCACTCAATGGGCAATTGTAAGACCTGGCTTCCATTCCTGGCTTGGCCACTGACCTGCTGTGTCACTTTGTGCAAGTCGCTTCACCTCCCTATGCTTTTCTTTCCCCTCCCACCCTTTGATGGTCTTGTCTGATTGCACAGTAATCTCTTTGGGGCAGGGAAAGTCTCTCACTATGTGTTCATGTGATGTCTAGCACAATGGGGCCCACAGTCGTGGCTTGGGCTTCTAGGCACTACAGTAATATAAATAATAACAATTCTTCCTGGGTTCTACATGGACCATCAAGGGAGAGAAAGGTTCCTCACACCCAGGAGCGCCACCAGCTTTTCTGCCACCCTAGGCGGCGGAAGGTCCCGCCCCGAAATGCTGCCCCCCACAGAGGCGGTGGAAGGTCCCGCCGCCGAAATACTGCCGCAGTCGTAGCCCCACAAATTGTAGTGCCCTAGGCGACCGCATAGGCCACTTAATGGATTGCACTGGCCCTGCTCACACCACCCTGTTCACTGCATGTCTGTATACTGGCCAAGCAAAATCTGCCCTCTATTTATTTGTTTTTAACGAAGAGTAAAGTTACAAATGCAATGAAACTACAGGGTGTGTAATGAAAACAGCATAGCTGTGGTGTCCTGTTGCTTAAATACCTTGCTCCTGAACGGTGCTGTATTAGGTTTCTTCAACATCTATGAAGCATTCCAGCTGGACTGCAACCAGTATTTTAATAAACTATGATCTTATGCAGTAGTGAATAAAGTTTATAACAGTCATAATTCCCTTGAAATCCATTAATCAACAGAAATTTCAACAAATATTTTAACATGGGAGTGACAGGACAGCAACTAAAGATCATCTGTTAACGGTGGAAGGAACCTTTTTCTCATTTTAATCTCCATGTGTCTGTAGCAACTCACTAATCTATTTCATTTATAATTCACACACAAAAAAACAGTCTCAGCAAAGATTTAAGATGTTAGCCTGTGATGAGTTTGCACATTACTAAGACTTCATTATTCTTATAAAAATGTACCCTAGTGCATTTGCTAGTTCATTATGCAATATTCTGATAAATAATTAAAACTAGACAACACTTGTCAAGGTGTAATGAGTGTGTTTTGTGAAGCACTGTCATTGCTTTACCTTTAGGTTTTACTGTTTGTTAATTTTCTTGCCAATTTAACAAGAAGTCAGTAATGGGTCTCTGGGACATCAGAGTAAGTGTATGTGGGGTCGTGCTGTGTGTTTAATAGGCCAGATCATTGGCTAAGGATGATGTGCAGGTAGCACAATATGAGTGTGTATGAGTGCATGTGCACACATGGTTTAAAGCTAATCTTCGTTTTCCTCTAATCCTGCTATAGCCTCTATGCTGAGGTAGTCCTCCTGTGCCAAGTGAGACCAGCAGCGCACTTAGGGGTGAAATCCTTCTCCCATTCACTCCAATGACACAGGACCAAGCTCTTAGTCATTTTAAGCTTGTAGGCCAGGGGTGGACAAACTTTTTGGCCCGAGGGCCACATCTGAGTGGGGAAATTGCATGCAGGGCCATGAATGTAGGGCTGGGACAAGGGCTTGGGGTGTGGGAGGGAGTGCGGGATGTGGGAGGGGGCGTGGGGTGCAGGAAGGGGCTCAGGGCAAGGGGTTGGGGTGATGGAGGTGTGTGGGGTGCAGGAGGGGGCTCAGAGCAGGAGGTTGGGGTGCAGGAGGGGTGTGGGGTGCAGCAGAGGGCTCAGGGCAGGGGGTTGGGGTGTAGGAGGGGTGCAGGGTGCAGGATGGGGGCTCAGGACAGGGGGTTATGGTGCAGAAGAGGTTCGGGGTGCGGCAGGGGGCTCAGGGCAGGGTGTTTGGGTGCAGGAGGGGTGCAGGGTGCAGCAGAGGGCTCAGGGCAGGGGGTTGGGGTGTAGGAGGGGTGCAGCAGGGGGCTCAGGGCAGGGGGTTACGGTGCAGAAGAGGTTCGGGGTGCAGCAGGGGGCTCAGGGCAGGGTGTTTGGGTGCAGGAGGGGTGCAGGGTGTGGCAGAGGGCTCAGGGTAGGGTGCTGGGGTGCAAGAGGGGTGCAGGGTGCGGCAGGGGGCTCCAGCCCAGCGCCGCTTACCTTGAGCAGCTCTGGGGTGGCAGCAGCATGCAGCAGGACTAAGGCAGGCTCCCTGGCTGCCCTGGCCCCGCGCTGCTCCCGGAAGCAGCCAGCACCACGTCCCTGCAGCCCCTAGGGGAGGGGGCGGCAGAGGGCTCCATGCGCTGCCCTCGCCTGCGGGTACCTCCTCCGAAGCTCCCATTGGCCGCGGTTCTCTGTTCCCAGCCAATGGGAGCTGCGAGGGGCGGTGCCTGCAGGCGAGGGCAGTGCGTGGAGCCCTTCCCCTCTTCCTCCCGCCCCGGGCCGCAGGGACGTGGTGCTGGGCACTTCTGGGAGCAGGGCTGACAATCCCACAGGCCGGATCCAAAGCCCTGACGGGCCAGAGCCAGCCCACGGGCTGTTGTTTGCCCACCCCTGTTGTAGGCTGTCTAGATAAGTCAGAACATTTCACCAATAGCACTGCTGGGAAACCAACCCCTGGATTTTAAACTGAGCACCGTTTAATACCAATGCAGTTGCATTTTATCTGCTGCTTGTAGCCCTTTTCTGTATACCATTACATTACTTAGTGTATAGGGGTGAGGTAGATCCCTGTTACTCATAGCACCATATTTGGGAAAGGATGCTATTACAGATTCTCCACAATTATGTCATGAATGATGCTATCTTAGGCCCCAGTTCAGCAAGGTACATGCCTAATTTTAAGCATGTGAGTAGTCCCATAGAAGTCAAAGTATACATGAGAAATGGGAAAATGTACATTGCACTACCATGCTGAATTGGGGTCTTACATCAAACCTCCACAGCTTCTGACCAATGAATAATCCACAGGTCTCCTCGACTACTCAGCCATGAAGCAGATAAAAACAAAGTTCTCTTGCAGAATTGATTCTGACAAGAAGGAAAAGTGCAAGAGACCAACAGCTCTACACTGTATTTGTTGGTTGGTTTGTTTTGTGGGTGACAACGGTTATCTAGCACCCAATTCTGGAAGAGGGATGACAATAAAATAATGATCCAGTGATCACAGACACCGCAGGATGAGACGCTGATTGCAGAAAAAAACCCACTGCTGCGTAGGAGAGGAAATATTATCCCCAAGATGGCCAGTCATTCAGGAACATAGATATTTCTGAAGAGGACAAAATACAAGTCATACACTCTTGCTTTTGCTTAGCTACATGCTTGCATCAGTAAGATGCAGAGTGGCAGCAATGACGGTAGTGTATCCCAGTTTGCTGACATCTCAGCACTTGACAGCATGAGACCGGACTAGAGCAACGAGGTATGATGTCAAGAGGAAATTCATTAAGATTCAAAGACCAACCAACTGCAGACAGCAGCCTTGTCTGAAAAAAGCAGAATGTATCCGTCCTTCTGAGACTTCCATCTCTTTGGATGTGGATGAGAGCTTGTCATACACGCTACGGGGCTTGATTGTGGCATGGAGCCCCACGGAACCTGTGACTTCCAGAGACCTGTGACTTCCAGAGACCCCCTTGACATTCTCTGCTTCAGCCCCAGGGGCTGCAGGACTCTGGAGCTGGCAGCTAGCGGGGTCCTGGCAGGGTCCCAGCGACAGGCGACAGCAGCAACAGGGGGCCCCCCTGCAAGGTTCCAGCGAAAGGTGACAGACTCCTGAGGGGGCCCTCCTCAGGGTTCCAGCGATGGGCGACAGCCATGTGGGGTGGTGGGAGGCAAGGGGGACACCTCGGGCGAGTGTTTGGGGTGTCCCATTTTCTCTTTGGGAAATATCCCTGCAGCTCCCAGCCACTGTGGGTGGAGGGGGGACCCCTTGCAGCTTCCAGCTGCTGTGGGCAGAGGGGAAACCCCATAGCTCCCAGCCACCACCGTGGTGAGAAACCATGGAGCCGCAGCAGCAAAAGTCACAGATAGGTCACAGCTTCCGTGAATGTTTGTTTATTGCCTGTGACCCGTCCATGACTTTTACTAAAAATAATCATGCCAGAGTCTTAGCCTTACTGATAAACAATATGAATTAGAAAGAAAACAGAGTAAGAAATCCCACTGAGGGGCAAATCCTAAGAATCCTTGGAAACAGAAGCAGGTCTGCTCTGAAAGGAGAAGGGAGTGCTCACTGAATCTGAGAGAGCTGTGCACCCTCCGCACACACGATCTGTAGGGCTTCCCTGCCTGGGAAGGTGAGGAAAAGGCAGAGTGTGGAAAAGGGGATCCAATTCTCCACTTTTTGGCAAAACCATAGAAGGGGCTTGGAGCCTGAAGGACCCTTTGGGGAGAGGCTCTGCAGCTGCTCTGTGATTCAGCATTACACACACACACACACACTCTCTGCCCTGTATACCTGGCCAGCACCTGTCCATAGCTTCACTCCTTCCTATGCTCCCTGCCCCTCCAGGCTGCCATGTTCTCCCAGAAGGTAGGAACAAAGCAATCCCTGCACACCCCCTGAATTCAGGAAATGCTATTCCGAATGGATCTTACACGGCTCATGGAAGGGAGAGAAGCTCCACTGGCCATCCCCTCCTTACTCACCCCCTCTATGTCCCTGCATAAGGGCTGGGTAGACTCTGGCCACAATCCAAATCCACCAATACCCCATGGGAGAGGCTCTAAGTCCCATAAAGCTTTCTAGGCTGCAATAGCATATGCATCAAGTTTTATGGAGGATTTGTCTTTAGTTCAAGTAATGTATTCCACTAATCCAAAAAGCTGAGATAATAAGAACACCTCCTCATACCTTCTCTCATTGTCATCAAGGTGAGCAAAGAGCACATTCTTGGAGATGGCTTTTGCCAGAGCAGTCATTGTTTTATAGTCCTTTGGAATAACCTGTGGGGGAAAAGAAACACACAAAGTTACAGTTGTGGATTTGTTTCATTATATATCTTGATGTCTAAAAGATTTCTGCATTACTTAATAAAGCTTATGCCCAAATAAATCTGTTAGTCTTTAAGGTGCCACCGGACTCCTTGTTGTTTTTGTGGATACAGATGAACACGGCTACCCCCTGATACTTGTCAATATGATGGATGCAGCTTGTTTCACATTGCTGAGTCAAATTTATAATTTAATATAAAACCACCAAGAAAGCAATACATTCCAATTTCGACAGCCTGGGTACAAGAATTAATGTTACTAATATAACAATGAGAACAGATATGTATGGTAGTCTCTCCTCCTCTTGCCCCTCCTCACCTCATAAAATATCCTTATACAGTACAGGGCAAAAATTCAGCAGGAACTGACAGTAGCTACGCAGACTTCTTTCATATTTCATGTATTTTTTTAATAGACTGAGGGAAACACTTTCCATACACTTCCTCTCCCCAAAGCAACATCAGAAGCAGTCTACCTCTAAACATAAAACGTGAGTGATGTTTCTCTGCCTTACAAAATACAAACATGTGACCTATTCATTTTTTATTGTGAAAATTTTTTCTTTATCAGTCCATAACATCAAACCAGTGTATTAACAGTATTACTGTATGGTCTGGAAGCAGCTGCATTAAAGGAAGCAGACATCAGAAGGCTGGAGGCAGTAGAGATATTCAGAAGATGGCAGATGTAACATGGAATGATTGATTGTAAGACAAATGAAGAAGTTAGAGGGAGAGTAGGATGTGAAACTAGGGTTTGGGATTGGCTGCAATCAAAAAGATTACAATGGTGGAGACACCGTATCAAACAGATGATAGGATGCCAGAGAAAATAATGCAAGTGCAACCAAGGTCAGTCCGACCTACGGGCTGACCACTGACTAGATGCGGGACATCATATGCAGGGACAGGACCAGACTGGGTGTAATGGAAAGACAAGTCAGAGACAGGAATATATGGCAATGCTTTACTGCTCCCCTTGTCTTAAAGATGCTCCAGGATGAATAATGGTGAAAAAATATTCTGGCAATTGACACAATCTTATGAAGCAAACAGAACTCCTGCATTATTTCAGTTACTGTACACATTCCTATGTCGGAAGCGTCTCCAATCTCCCACCAAAAAATTAATTAAAGAAAAGAAGTTAATTAAGCAAAAGGAAAATATTTTGAGTTCTGGAGTATAATCAAAAGGAAGAGCAATCTACATTTTTGCAGAAATCCCACAGAACAAAGAGCTGGCCTTCATATCACCAGTGAAGTCTATAGTCTGAAAAGTAAAGCATCTGACAGTATTTTAGGATGTGTCTGTGACAGACAGACATTATCCTGATCTAGCAGGGAAAGGGTTAACAATTTGCCATAGGAGGAGCCACAGACACTCAGGAGGGGTGGAGACAGGTGAGAAGACGGGAAGTCTTCCTTTCATTCCATGTAAAAGGGCCCTTAAGGGAGTACAGGGGAAGAAATAAGTGAGGACAGGAGATATGCTTCTGTACGGTCCTTCCTCCACTCAAAAGGGATGAGCTTTATTTTGCTTAGTTTAGAATCTCTTTGACCCCACAGAGGCTGTGAGTGAGAGGAAGCCTAAAAAGACTGAACAACTTCTTTTTGTTATCCCTTTCAAACTGCGCGGGGGGGAAAATCCCAAGAGACAAGAGTGAAGAGCAGGCCTTGGGCTGGGGGCTTTTATTGTTGTTTTTTCCCTAACCCCTCCTTAATTTAAGCAGAAGTAAGCCATTTTCCCAGTGGGAGAAAGGGTTGTTTTCAGCTGTTCGTCCCTTCCCTTATTAATCTGGCAGGGAAGGGATCTTGATTAGGCCAGAGAGCCATATTGCCAACCCAGACAAAAGAAGGCTATTTCCAGTGGGGGGAATGATGCATGACAACCCTCTTGAGGTGTCGAACAAAGAACAACCCTAGAATTATTTTAAGGAAAAGTGCCATTGTCTATAATGCAGAGATTCTCAAACTGGGGGTCGGGACCCCTCAGGGGGTCACAAGGTTATTACATGGGGGGTCGCAAGCTGTCAGCCTCCACCCCAAACCCCACTTTGCCTCCAGCATTTATAATGGTGTTAAATATATAAAAAAGTGTTTTTAATTTATAAGGGGGGGGTCACATTCAGAGACTTGCTATGTGAAAGGGGTCACCAGTAAAAAAGTTTGAGAGCCTGCTATAATGGTATGCTAAACTATAGTACAGGGGTAGGCAACCTATGGCACGCAGGCCGAAGGCGGCACGCGAGCTGATTTTCAGTGGCACTCACACTGCCCAGGTCCTGGCCACCGGTCCGGGGGGCTCTGCATTTTAATTTAATTTTAAATGAAGCTTCTTAAACATTTTAAAAACCTTATTTACTTTACATACAACAATAGTTTAGTTATATATTATAGACTTATAGAAAGAGACCTTCTAAAAACATTAAAATGTATTACTGACACGCGAAACCTTAAATTAGAGTGAATAAATGAAGACTCGGCACACCGCTTCTGAAAGGTTGCCGACCCCTTCTATAGTATATGGTTTAGTCACTAGGTGGCACTATGTGTAAAATACCTTATTTAAACAAACTTCTGCCATAGCTGGCAGAGCATTAAAGGATCTTCTGATGAACACATCTGGTCTGTATAAGCAAGCTCTGTAGCCAGTACATATCTGGTACAGAATAATGTGACAGCCACCTTGGTAAAGGCTCAAAGACTGAATTCTATCTTCACCAACACAGCTCCCATCTTTTCCTGTGTTGTGATATATACGCTGCTTACTGTATTTTTCACTCCATGCATCTGATGAGGTGGGTTTTAGCCCACGAACGCTTATGCCCAAATAAATTTGTTAGTCTCTAAGGTGCCACAAGGACTCCTCGTTGTTTCAGCTCCCATTGATTTCCTCTAGTCAAAGGTGTAGAGAAGTCAATGGAAGCACATATACTTACCAGAGGGCAACATTTCACCTTCACTTGAGTAGAGAGTCAGAATTCCTAATATCAAAATAAGAGTTAGACGCAAGCTAGCTCACTATGAGAAAAGCTCAGAGCTTATTGTTAGTGTCCTACCCTGCCAGAGAAACACTGGTGTGAGTTCTAGTCCTGGTCTCTTGCTGCATGATTCTAGAGAGGCTGGAAACATCCTGGATGTTCCATATGTCATTTTCTCCTTTCATATCTGCATTGTAGGTGGCTCTGTCACCCATCCTGAGTAGATTCATGTGCTGATGACACTGAAGAAAGTATTCCAACACAACCTCCTAGTTCTTTATTTCTTAGCATTACAAATATCCCCCTAGAATATTATTTAAACACAGTCTGCTTCTAAGAAATTAATTTCATATCATCTCTATGCAGAACACAGTAAATAATCTGTACTGTACTTCAAGCTTTGCAGCAACTGCCTGTCAAGACTCACTGTGAGCCTGTCCTGACATCATTGTTGATAGAAGGAAACAAACAAAGTTGTGTTAATTTCAGGTTCAGTTAGGAACATAAGAAAACAATCCAAAGGAATATGGAGGAACACTTCCACTGATCTTCAGAAGAGTTGGATTGGGCCCGTAATGAGCAGAGATAAATGTGGGGGGAGGGGTTAAAGTTTCTAAAGGAGATATTAAGAACTGTGGAGAGAAAATACTAAGTAGTTGAAAGTGCCTTTTAAAATATCATGTAAATGCTTTTTTAAACAGTACCATGCATTAACAGTTTAACTATAGCGTTTTTTAAAATGTACTGGATAAAATGTGCTGGATAGTTGCCAGCATTATTTGACTTAAATGCTGGGAGAATACTCTTCTCTAATTGGCTTTAGGCTGAAAGCTCTCCCAGGTGTCTGTTTCTTGTGAGGGAAGATGCAATAGCAGGCAGTGAGCTCATACCATAAAAGGATGACAAAGGCATGCACAACCACGAACAGAAAAAAATACTCTGCCCAAAAGTAATGGTTGACAAAATGTGTTCCTATAAAATAAACTCTTTTTGGTGGGAGAGCTACTTCAGACATTGGAGCAACAGCTGTTGCTGGAGGTAACTGTTAGCCAACATTTGCTAGTGAAGAAAAAAAATCTTTCCACCCATTGACACCAGATGCCTACAATAATGTTGACACCCAAAAGCAATGAAATTATTGAAACAGTTGCACATGTGTAAATTGGCATTCATGGGCCAATCCTGGAAAGGGAGCCAGGCAGCCTATGTGGATCCCTTGCAGGACAACAAATATTCATGTTGATTTTTAACAAGTTAATATTTCTAATTAAAAATACTACCGTACTATGTATTATAGGCCAACGGTTTTTAGAGAGCTCAGAATCCACAATTAGGGCCAGATCTTCTACACACTGGATGCTCAGTTATTCTTAAAATTTGTCAATAAATGTCACAATAGGAAATGGTGGGTGCAGAGCTGTTTTGTACACCTGAGCCCAACTGTGGGGACTGAGCGCTTGAAAATCTGGCCCATAATGTCCAGTATTTCTGGTGTCACTTATTGATTCATCTAAGATATGCAAAGCTTCTGCAAAGCCAAGTTTAATACTTTATGAATCTCTAATATAACATTAGAAATACCTGAAGATTAATGTGGGAAGTCTAATTAAATAATGAAAGACCTCATCTAATGAAAATAAAAATAAATCCATGCCAGTGATGTAAGAGTTGACCTACATGCTCAGAAATAATCTGCACAACACCTTCAAAAGATGAGCCTGGGAACTAAAAACCATGGATTTAACAGAGACGCAAGTTTTATGGCCCATGCCAACAATTTGTAATGCACTCTTCTGCCTACCACACCTCCTTTGCCATAGGACTGCAAATGTGTTTAAGTGCCCACTTCATTTTACGTGGTCTCCTATAACATGTGCAAACTCCTTATGCTCAACAATCTGTCCCGCCATGTACTTAGCTGTCACACTATGGCTACCTTTTCCAGTCCTGAGGAAGAGTTCTGTGAAGCTTGAAAGCTTATCTGCTCCACCAACAGAACTTGGTCCAATAAAACATATTACCTCACCCACCTTGTCTCTGTAGAAATGACCTTAAAATTTCTGAAGGAAATGTCAGAGGGGGCTGATAACTTCTGAATAGTGCACGTTGAGATACATCCTCAGTTTAAAGCATTGGGGAAAGCTCATATGAGTCAAATTCTGCCCAATAGGAGTCTTGCTTGATTACAGATCACAGAACTGAACCACCATATCTGACTAGGTTAAGCACTATTTATACCCTCAGGTGCTTCCATTGGGAATTTCCACAGCAAACTGACCCAAACAGGAGCACTGGTGTGGTAAATCTTATCTGCTTTTTCATGAAAGCTCTGCAGGGACTGATCTCCTTGTCTTAGATTAGCCTACAAATTGCCATGCACATCTCATGGCACTCTGAAATAATGGCTGGAGGGGAATTTAAGATTATGATGGGGCTAAAGCCTATGTCTGTTAATGGCAAGATGAGCAAAAGTCCATGCTCTTGGGACCACCAGCCAAAGATTAAACACATTCAATTTTATAAACATAAATTGATTTGGTTGAAAGAGCTCCATGAAGTAGAGTCCAGGGCTTCCACAGACTGTAAACTTCTAGTTCTTGCTTTGTTTATTCTTAATTTGTGCTTGGCATTTCTTCAGAAACAGTGGCAATATAAAATGACCCAACCATTGCAAATGATGTTTTACAGAGTAAAATGTAAACAGATCACTTGATAGCAACTATTTGATTCTGAAGTCTATGTTACAAACACGTTACCTTTCTAACATAAGAAACAGCATCTTCCTCAGTGTACACCTCAGCACTGACACCTCCCCTTCTGCGTCGAGCTTTCACCACCGGGTTTGGAGGAGGAGGAGAAATCTCATCATCATGAGAATCTGACTGAGAATTAGATTTCTGCCGAGCCAATATTTGTTTGCATTCTTCCTGTAAGCGAAAAGAAGACAGAGATTTATTTTCCAATGGGAGCTGGGGGGGCTGTGCCTCCTGGGTCCTGGTCCCCCTGCCTAGGACCCGGACCTGCTGGCTGCTTCCAGGGCGTGCGCAGTGTGGTGCCAGGACAGGCAGCATGCTGCATCGCTGATCAGGAGCTGCCCGAGGTAATCCCACGCCCCAACACCAAGCCCCAACCTCCTGCCCCAGCCCTGAGCTCCCCCCAAAACCTGGAGCACCTTCCTGCACCCCAAACCCCTCATCCCTGGCCCCATTCCAACCCCCTGCCTCAACCCGCAGCCCCCTCCCGCACTCCAAATCCCTCGGCCCCACTCCCCATCCTGGAGCCCCTTCCTGCACCCCAAACCCCTCATGCCTGGCCCCACCGCAGAGCCATCACCCCCAGCCCAGAGCCCTCATCCCCTCCCACACCCTAACCCCCTGCCTTAACCTGCAGCCTCCTCCCACACTCCAAATCCCTCATCCCCACCCCAGAGCATGCACCCCCAGCCAGAGTCCTCACCCCCTCCTCCATCCCAGCTCCCTGCCCCAGTCCGGAGCCCCCTCCTGCACCCTGAACCCCT